TACAGGCTAGTTTGTCCGACCGTGGCTCTATAATGTTGATACCTCATATTTGTTTTTGTTTTGTTTTTGTTTTGTATTTTGATATCAAAATCCTTTACACTTTGAATGGGCTGTTCTAAATTCTATGCAGAACAAGTCCATTATACAAATTCAGCGTTTATGTGTTTAAAAGCTTCATATATCGGTGATTACAATAGAATATGATTATAGACTATTTTAGTGAGTTTACGTTGATAAAGTATTGGAAGTGTTTACTTAGATTTAATATCCGTCATATTCTGATAAAATTACATGTAGTGTTTAGAATTTTACATCAAATAGGTCTTTATTCCAGTCAGTACATAATGACTCTATACTCCGTGATGGTCAGTTATAATGATAAGTAATCATAATTTCTTCTGTAGAGCTAACTTCTGCTACAAATATGAAAATGACTATGTAAATAAGACTGATCTGTGTGTTTATCGTATTGATCACTGACATCATATTCTTACAGTAATCTTCTCAGAGATACCAAATAATGTTCTTTTATTGTAACAGACTATGTACATGTAAAGATGTCATTCATGTAGGAAAATTTCATTGCAAACCGATCAGATTAAAAATTGCCAGAATTTCTTTTCGCTTTTAATCTTGATATTATAATATAAGAAATACATGTTGAATAAAAACAAATAATATGGTAAACGTTTACAGGACTCATACCAATTATATGTAACAGTATTCGTGTTTATTACATTTGAAAAATGAATGTGTTTATGATATTCCGGTTTCCAATGCATGGGATTAATCCACAAAATTTAATAATAATCCTATTGTCTGTAAAAGGTTCATAAAGCATAATGATTGTATATCATACTGCAAGCCAATGATGATTGCTCTATAACTGTAGGTGATTAAACATGCATATTTCATTAAACCATTCATGGTGTTTAGTCTACACATAAAAACCTTTAACTCCCTGTTGGCATATTATCTCTTATAGAGACTTATCACTTTATAGCAATATCTACAGGCACACAGACAGTATAAATAGTTTTAAAATATGCACGATAAACTGTTCTCTTACTGCCAGAACGCTAAATATAACTGGTTCCGCCGACAACAAACCAGTTTGTCACTTGCTTCAAGCTTAATACCATTGTTACACAATAGGTTTCAAATATGCATAAACCTTGCAAAGGTGCACTGCAGTTCTGCCTTGATATATGCATAAACCATAAACATATTATCCTCATTTTTATATCACCTAATAAGTGGGTCTTAGTACTTTCATACAGTTGCAATACAGCGTTTCAGGTATCTACGGGGAATTATTAGCATTGTTTTCTCTCTTCTGTATACATGAATTTATAAAAATGTTTCTTCTGTACTGAAAATGTAATTCCGAGTTATAAGCAGTAAAACTTATAACTTGCTGATAGTGTATAACGGACTTGCCAAGCTTTGAGTTTGGAACACTCCATTAAAAGTTTAAGGGATTTCAATATAAAGTATACCAGTTTAGCAGCCGACGGTCTGTTTAGACTGTACTGACATGAAGACCGACCTGGCTCTATATTAGTGACAAAAACTAATCGACTTTAGGTCTAACAGGGAAAGGTTTCGTATTTACGACTAGAAGTAATAACCTTTTAGAATAAGCCAATTAACTGTCTATATCTCTTTTTTCCTCAATATTCCAAATTTAAACGGTACAAAAAAAAAAAAAAAAACAAAAAAAAAAAACAAAACAAAAAAAGAACCAATTAATTTCTGTTTCATCAGAAAAAAATTAACAAATTGTCAGAGCAATCACAAATGTATTTTTGTTCCTAAAATATTTTAAGACAGATTTACGGAATATTAATTTTCTTCAGAAAAAAACCCAACAACTAATGTTAGACAAACGTAGACTTTTTAAAACATTTATTTATCTTTTTTTCTAATAGTCGAACAGTTGGGATATTAATTTTGTATTTTGATTAACTTTTTGAAAAATGGAATTTTTTTCTGACAAAAAATAGATAAATAAATAAATGTGACGTTGAAAAAGGATTGCATCGAAGGAACAGTAATCTTGATTAGTTGCATTTTTTATTTTAAATTAAATTAGTATCATAATAATTATTGTAAAACAAAACAACAAATAATACAATCGCTTTGAAATCATAATTACTGTCAACTGCATTGAAACAGATCGTCGTGGGTCCATCCCGAGAAGAGTCTTTTTTCCTCTTCAAAAGTCTATTAAAATCAAAATTATACGGTAAAAGTATTTGATATTTGACAAGATCAACTAATATACCTTTCAGTAAATTTAGGCAAGCCCTTCATTTTAGTACAATTTAGGGGTATTTTGAATAATGTTCTCAAAGTACGAAAATGGTTAAACAAGTCTTTAAAATAGGTATGCTTGTGTAACAGTTTTATAAATATTTCGAACATTTTGAGTAGAAACAATATTTTTGCTTGGGTGATTTGTTAGTTGAATCCTATAATTTATTTCTTAACAATAATAGGAAACCATTTTTCATAAGGATGATATTATAGATTATTAAGTTTCTTAATTTCTGAAAATGAACCCTTCCGGTGTTCAAGCTTTAGTAACTCGTAAACCGTACGGTAAATTTTTTTTTTAATTTTGCAAGCGGATGTCCTTAAATGCATATTACTGACCTATGTTGTCAAATTTTGTGTTGCTTATAGTGCCCATTACGGCGGTCATACTTGAGGACATTTGCTATTGTTTTCATATAGACTTTCCATGATCTTTGAATTTGATAAAAGAAACATTTTAAGCAAAAGAAAATGTTCTCACTTTTTAAAAAAATTTCAACCTTTTTCTGTTAGTGAAAATGGTATCAAATTTATTTTATGTAATTGCTTGAAATTTTGTAAAATGAACAAGAAAAAAAAAATACAAACAAAATCATTTACCAAAACTAAAGTTTTTTCATATCAATTTATATTCATGGGCAGGAAACTAAAAGCTTGATCGGCGACAACACTTTTTCACCCAAAATCATTTCTTTGTTATACATATATATAAAGATCATGTAAAGTCTTACGAAATTTTATGAAACAGTTTTCATTCTACATATACATGTTTGTGTGTGTGTGTCTAGCAAAGGCCTATAATAACTGTATTGACGCTGAAAATCATACAATTATTATTGTATAGATTATTTCATTGTAGTTTTGATTTAAATTCAAGTTTGATGCGAGTCTTCATAAAGACATCTACATAACAGAAGACGTCAAACGTTTTGTGACACAATCTTGCTTTAAATAATTTAAGGTCGATCTGTGAATAGTCATGTATCTTGTACATATTAAACTAAAGAAATTACGATAATCTTTCAAGGATTATACAATATTCTTTTGTAAAGAAATCTATTCTCAACATCATAAAAAACATCTCATGTATCTAGCAAGACAGTGTCAAATCTTTACAGATCTTGTACTAAAACTCTTTTTTAAAGCTTTAAGTCAATAATATATGTTTTACGAAAGCAGGTAAATCGATCTGATCTTGTAATAGCATATATAATATTTCAACTTCAAATAAAAACAAGTTTGTGGAGCGTACAAGAAGTTAACTGTCATTTGACGAGACAAAGAATTCTACAGCTAAATGACTTCTTTCAACTTTCATACAATTAGCATTGATCCAGAGAATGTTTGAACATTTCTGAGTTACAATAACACGACATAATCCCAATAGAAGCTGACTATTTTCAGGAGAACATCTTTATCAAAACTGTTTGCACGAATTACACGCATTTCTATAACAATAATAATCAAATATTTGGAATACAACTGTTTTGTTCACAAAAACCGGCCTTACTTTAGCCAAAAATAAATACAAGGTCTCAGGAGTCTTTGTTTCACCGTGGTTTAGAACTACAACAAGTACATGTACTAGAAACGCTGCTTTCTATTTTAATGGTAAAGTTCAAATGATATGATTGAATTTCACCGTTGCTTGAACTCCTATACCTTTCATCCGAATCACGTAAACGATTTTTAAAACAAAGTCAATACATTAAATTGATAGCATTTAAAAACAAACTCTATTTCAATACACTTTATGAAGACTCATGTGGATATATTCAATATCTGTGGCAATAAACGACAATCCAATAATGAGATCACATAGTCGATTACTCGTTTTAATTGTAACATTTAAAACTTTGTTAGGATAAAGCGTAGCTTGAATGGAAAGTTAAAAAGGCTACATGGATATAGGATCACATTGACATTACAAACAAAAGGCATTCAAGTTGTTTTTGAAAATTGCTGGGGGGGAATAAGCTTAACAATAGGATGCCTGACAATGAGATTTTCTAACATTGCTGGCGAATGTAAGCTTCGTTTGACAACATGAAGGCCGCTTATTTATATACCATACTGGTACAGAAGTATTTACTTTAAATTGTATTAAGTTTTATCATTGTACTAGAAAAGCAGTAAAATTGACGTTCAAAATCCTGGCTAGGGGTAAAAATTAAAGCCTTAATTTCACAGTACATATAGCGGTTCTTTTTAAAATCTATTGTCGACCTCATTGCAAAGAAATGGCACTTATGTATTATATATACATTCATGTGTTTGTGAGTATATATCAAATCATCATATCTACATTCGTGTATCTAGTGATCCAAACCTTGAACAAATTATCTGTCAATAAATTCGTTTAAAAAGTTACATAACTACGAAAATGAAATAGCTATACTTTCAATATTTTCTAAAAAGAATCAGTTATATACAGTGAAGTTTTTAATGATAAATTATTCAGCGTTATGCTGAACAATAATGAAGTTTTTATATGTAATTCTACTGATTTCCAATTTTTCTAGAATGTCATTTATCAAATATAAATACTTGTTTTTGATCAGCTCAGCAGCGCAGTAAAATGAAAATTATTCATGTTATGGGAATATTAATGACAAATTGATAGACCGCAATGGTATAAATAGTTGATAAAACAGTGTATTAAATATCAAAACATAACTTACCACTTCTATAGAAGTCTATTATAGAGTTGAAAACCGCAGGATGCCTGTCAAAGAAGTATACTTCTTTTTGACTGTCCGAGAACTCGTGCTGCTCAGCAAGGCGTGACAACCGTGTGTGCTCTATTTTTCTCAGCGTTGTCAAATGTGTCTCGTGCCGGACACCGCCTACATTTAGGACTATTCGGTCTTCATCCTCAGAGTACTGAGAATCATTTTTGGCTGGCAGGGTTTCGGCGGGTGAAATGACTGGTGTCTCCTCGCCTGGGAGATCATCCGAGAGCGAGTCGGCTTCCTGGGAGGCGAGGTAAACTGGTTTGTTCGTGCCGTCATGCTCGAGCATGTCTCTCCTAGTTCACGAGGTCTCCTTGTCAAGGCAAACAATCACCGACAATTTTGGCATTACAAGAATAAATATTCCATTTTAACTCCAAAATAACAGGAAATGTTTTAACAATAAGTTTTCCCATAGAATTACATTGTTTACACATAAAATATACAACGTTCATCAATTACAAATAAAATCACATTTAAACTACTCTACTAAATAAACCGATTCCGGAAGTTCAGGGCATAATTCCTAATTTAGAGAAAAACTGTCCAATCTACTCTCTCCGAATTCCAACGCACTTCTCTCTCTTCGATGGCATTAAAACCTGCGCTAACCCCCAGTAGTTGTTGATTGTAATTAATAATTAACCACATCATAGCAGAGTATCCATTAAAGCAGGGAATTAATAGAGTTCCTATCTCACCGAGCATTCGCTACTATATGAACGCTTTGAGCTTTAGACCAATTTAGCTACATAAACTCATCCTTTTATTGGTTTATGTTGTTTTCGCTGTTTTAGGTATAAACCAAAGAAATAGTTGATCACGTGACTGTATCGAAATGTTCATCTCATGCAATTCCAGACGCTGTAACAGTTCGATCCGATCCAATTTGTGAACATGCGATATATTATATGTTGCAAATTCCGATTGGGGCGAAGTGTCCATATATCTTGTTTCAAATAAGCGACACCCTCTTAATAAAATAAATTTATTCCAATGTCAGTCAAATCACATGCTTTTACCAATGACAGAAAGAAAATCAGTACACTTAAGCTAGAATATGTTTTCGTTTTTAAGAAATATGCTAATTGAGGCATGTCAATGCAAAATGTCAATGAGTCAGCTAAGCATGTAGTGTAATGTTCGATTAGTTCTCAACTGTATCGATCACAAGCTTTGATCAGAGTTAAGAATTATGCGGAACATATGACAAGGCAGTTATCTTCAACGATTTAAAATATCACATTTTGATTGCGCTGTAATTACTCGAAATGCTCCCACTGTACATACTTTATAATAGAAACTTACAAACACATTATCAATATTATGTTCATCTCGCTGGTATTGATATTTGTGGTTTTCAGCATGTAATGAAATATTCAAAAGCGTTTTCACAGCAAACCTATTTATTATGTTTAGCTTTTGTTCGCTTAATATAATCCGCGAGATACATAAATCACTTCTCAGTGCTATGCGAACTGTTTGCATTTATCAGTGATATTTTATCATACTAAAATGTTTCGGTTTTTAATGCCCATCAATCAATATCTTTAACAAATATGGGGAATAGGAGCAATCAAATAGTTCCGCAGCAAGTTCAAAACTATTATTGTAAGCACAAAAGTCGGAAATTTGTGGAACGTAGAAAAGTAAATACATTTTATGACAAGAACGTATACATACTGCATTTGCATAATTTCTTTTTAAATGTTAAATAAAAGTACCAATAGCTTAGGTCAAGACAACTGCTCGTTTTGTAACAACCATACTTGAATACATGTATATACATGTATATGTTTGTTTTTAATTGGGGCAAGTTTTTTTTATTTCTTTGATCACTGGGACACTTATGCTGGTGACCCCACAACTTCTGCTGAAATAAAAGGATCTACTTTCTCATAGTAGAATTCCATTATATTTTACTTTCACTTTTGAACAATATTCATTCAGACAAAAAGAACTATTGTAACAAAGAAACAACTATTGTTATGGCATAATCACTAATTATTTAAGATCTACCTTCGATCGCAAATCCCTGTAGAGGAACTCAAGTCACGTTGGATGCATTACATGGAACGAAGTTTGAATTCATTCAGGCTAATTCCTGTCTGACGGACTACGATTCCCGAGGGGAAATATGCCGTACTTGAGTGATTATCAATAGGTCGCAGTCTGAGCATACTTGAGTTTTGTTGCAAAGCTGTAGAAAAACAACATTTCTTTGATGTATTTTCGTAAAATGGAGAAAAAACAAATCCTGCTTATCGGATGAAGCATCTCTATTAAATCAAAGTCATTGTATGCTGTAACAAAGCTAGGCCTATTATAGTCAGTAGTGGGTAAGGTATCTGCAGATCTTGTTTCTGATCATAACCACGTTATAACCCTCATAAGATACCAGAAATGGTTAGTTTTGTCATCAGGACAATGAACAATTTTCCAAGTTCAAAATGGGTCATAATTCTGCCAAAATCCATGCTAGAGCTATAGGCACTGGACAGTGACCTCCTATTATGCTCCTATACGCAGTTCCATATTCCCTTCAGTAGTTTTGGAAATGTCAATTTGGAGTGTGACTCCGACGCCGGGGTTAATCTATCTTTCGAAAGGTAGGGCTAGAAATGAGAAGTTTTTGATTTTTACAAGAGTTTTAATGTTTTATTTCTTTACATATATTTGATTACGTTAAATCAAAAGACCTGAATGGTAGGATTTTGTATCTCAGTCCATCAGGTCATGGTTGTTTAATATCTAATCTCTAATAAGCGTAATGGTTTCAAAGAAAATATTTTAGTAGTTTTGACTTTTCTTTTAAAAGAACAGGTAAAAAGCGATTTCTGAGATGGCCAGTATTGAGCCCAGGGTCATCAACATTTGAATCTTTATACAGCATCACAAAACGCTATATATACACTTAATTTCAGAAAAGGTTTTGGCTAAGTGGATTCAGACAAGTGAAATTTACAGGTTTTTCCCCTTCATTTTGTGGTCATGCCAACCTTAGCTAAGCATGAGAAAATACTCCTTTGAAAACAGTTAAAAAACTTCGTGAAAGTTGTACATGTAGCTTCGGAGAAAATAATACACTGACTAGTAAGATTTCGAGGTCATTCCGTTTCATAAATATTTCAGCGTTGCTTAACTTTTAAGCGTCTCCTGATATTAGCCATTGAAGTAAAAAACGCAATGAAAACTAACATCATTATCTATGAATAAGTTATAACTAATACAATTGCAAGCACACAACAAAGCACACCAGTAATGTACAATAAACAGATCAGATCAAGATGTCTTGACAAATATTAGTCTTACAAGAATGTTTGGGTGGTCTAACCTATCTCGAGTTTTATGTATTCAATTAAATAAAGTGACTGTATTCCTATTTACATATAAAACAAGTGATCTGATACAGAAGTGGGATTTTCTATTTGTATAATAAAATATTTATGCATGTACCTTGAAAAAAATATCAAATTTCTGTTTGCTCTGTATAATAGCTTAAAGTAATTTGAATTAGTAAACTTGGTATATAGAGTAATGTACAAAAGTTATTTCTGCTAAATAAAGAGCAAACAGTTTATGATCAACAATGGATGGACATATGTGCTCATATAATTTCTAGTCTATGCTAAACAATGGATGGTCATGTATGGTCATACAATATCTATTGATATTACTTAAAGCTTCTAAAATCTATACACATGCCAAGTTAAGTATCAATAGGTGAAAGTGCACTGAAGTTATGAAGTAGCTCGAAATTGTATTGTAAGCAAATGAGCTTGGCATAACTCCCATATATTTAAATAGCAAACCTATTACACGTATTAGTGAAAACTATATTTTTTAAAGCAACAGTGACCTTGACCTTGTTCACAGACACCTGTAATTTCAAGTTGCGATCCACATTCCAAATTTGATGTCTATAGGTCTAAGCAAACACAAGTTTATAATGCGGAGACTGAATTTCTATTTTAGCAAAAGTGACATTGACCTTGATCACAGACATCTGTGTAGCAAATTTGCTGTCAATAGGTCACAGTTATCTCAAGTTAATATGTGGGAACTGAATTACTATGTTTAGCAACAGTGACCTTGATCATAGTCACCTGGGTAGTAATCCTGAGTAGCGTCTTGATATAAGCTACCCACATACTAAGTTTGGTGTCAATAGGTCAAAGCAAACTGAAGTTATTGAGCGGAAACTTTATTTATGATTTTAGCACAGTGACCTTGATCAAACACATCTGTATAGCAATCGCAAGCTGCCTCGTGATATTAGTTACCATGATACAAAGTTTGGCGTCAATTAGCAAAAGCGGACTCAAGATATTATGCGGAAACTGAATTTCTATTTTAGCAACACTGACCTTGATCTTGATCACAGACATCTGGGTAGCAGTCTCAAACTGCCTCTTGATATAAGCTACATATACACTAAATTTGGTGTTAATAGGTCAAAGCAAACTAAAGTTATTGAGCGGAACCTAAATTTCTATTTTTAGCAATGGTGACCTTGACATTGATCATAGACACGTGGGTAACAGTCTTAAGCTGCCTCTTGGTATAAACTACTAAGACACCAAGTTTGCTGTCAATAGGCCTAAGCAAACAAGTAATTGAGCGGTACCTGAACTTCTATTTTTAGCAACAGTGACCTTGACCTTTATCACAGACACCTGCGTAGCAATCCCAAGCTGCCTTTTGATATAAACTACCCATACATCAAATTTGGTGTCAATAGGCCAAATCAAACTCAATTTATTGAGCGGGAAGTTATTTTCTATTTTTAGGAAAAGTAATCTTGACCTTGATCACAGACACCTGGATAGCAATCCCAAGGTGCCTCCTGATATAAGCTACAAACACATCAAGTTTGGTGTCAATAGGCCAAAGCAAACTTATTGAGCGGAAAAAAGTTGACGCCCGTCCACCAACCCGCCCGCCGACTTCAGCATTATAATGACCAGTTTTCATTGAAAACGGTTAAAACGTATAACAACTAAAAATTTTTACAGCTAGGGAAACACTTGTTCTTGATTGAAAAGTATTTCATTTGACATAGTGATCTCAAAATCAAAAAGGGTCTTCTTCAGGCTCGGTACAAAATCATTACTTCTCAGTTATTAATCAGACATTTACACAGTTATTGTGACCTTTGGCCCAATGACCATAAAATCACTAGGGAACATATACTGGCCTTTTGGAGGTCCATACTAACTAAAAACGTAGTCTTTTTCCTTGACAAGTGATTGATACAACAAGAACTTTCCACAAATTGCTTCTGTGACCTTGACCTTAGGGAGTAAGGATCATCTTCATGTAATGGCTAACCTCCATATAAGATCTTAGGACTGCAGGTGGAAATATTCCCGAGTTCTTGGTTTGAACCTTTACTTTTGTCCTACTAACCTCAATTTCAAAAATTGTCATCTTCTAGACCAACTTTCAAACTACCGGTATTAGGACTGTTGGCAAAAGGGTTCTATAAGCTATTGGTCAGACAAAGGTTCAATGTTCATGGCCACACTTGTCATCTACTAGCCATGTCCAACTAAGTTACATTAACAAAGGTGTGAACGACACTACCACAAAATTCTGCAAGTGATGGAATAAAAAGTGAACATTCAACATCAATCATAGATCATTATACATGTACAGATGTCAACATGACACAAAACCGACATAAACACGTTTAGTGTTTGCAGGAATATAAGTTTCACTAACACAAATTAATATATCTCTTTGATGACAAGTTAATCTAGTGGAGGACGCCATTCAATAAAGATCTTATGCCTTGTGGGACTGTGATGTTTATCAATTTGTAATTGTTGTGAGCTGGTGGGCCTTTTTTCTTTGAACTGTGTTTTGTTAAAGCTTCACATAAAGCACATGCTGCTTAGCTTTAGGTGTTTCTTTTCATGTACTGCAAAAGTAAATTTCCGACTTATCCAAGAACAAAACTAAACATGACCTTCCGATATCTCAAATACTGTTAAAATTACGATCATTACAAAAAACAAGAGGGTCATGATGGCCCTAATTTCGCTCAACTGAATATAAATACTCTTAATGACAAGGAACAAGTAATATTGTAAACTATAAACAAATCTTAATCTTAAACTGATATCATAAAGTTCATATTTGTATCTAAAATAGTGCATATGTAAAAACATTACTGGTTGCTTTTGCTTTGTGAAAACAGTTGTTTAATTTTATTAACCTGTCAATTGCATACTGATTATACGGTCAATGCACACAGTATATTAAAC